TACATACATACATACATGCATACTTGTATGCATACATGGTTACAGACATAACTGCCCTCGCACATACATGCACGCATGGCATACATGAATCCTTGCATACATGCACATGTATGCATATGTTCCATACATGCGCACATGCTTACATGTGTACGTGCACGCGCGCGCGCGCGTGTGTGTGTGTGTGTGTGTCAGCTGCTTCACTTCGGCGCCGCAGGCGACCGTCGAGCAGTATGAGATTCATTGGGCCCAGCTGTCTGGATCTACGGCCACACCGGTTTCATTGGTGGAGACAATTACGACGGCTTCCGACAATGAGTTGCCTGGTCCGTTGTTCGAGGGTCGTTAGGTAATTCAGTGAATCGCAAGGTCTCAGGTTGAGAATAGTGAGCTCTCAGTGCAAGCGGAGCCGCCGTGAGCCCTAGGTCCCAAGCCATGTCTTCGGTTAGCTCGTCCGCTTTTCGCACGCCATGTCGACACTCCGAGGACCCTTCTGTTTGAGATGATCGACTCCTATGGTGATGGTTGGAACGGCGCGTACTACTACATTCGGACGTCAACCGGACCGTAAGCTGCACAAATGTAGGAGGGTTCGGCGAAGTTGGGCTGTGCCATGTGTTCTTCAGGTCTGCGTTAAATCTCGTGTGAAACAGCTGGAATCGATACGCGAGGCCACCATTAAGCGTTCGTTATGCCCTGTCGTCAGTCTCCGCAGCTGGGTGGCTAAATGCGCCTGCACTGTGCGAGGAGAGTCTGTGGCAGAGGGCACCTTTTTTAGCGGCTATGGTGCGACACACACCATTGGCGTCTCAGCAGGAGCAACGTTGAAGCTTGGGCAGCAATTTAATTTGGACTTGTTTGGTACGTAAAGCCTTTCCGAGCTTCCAGCTTCAAGCTTCATGTGTGCCCTGAATCGTGGTGTATTGTGTAGAACCCTTAGGCCCTTATCGATTCCTGATAGAACCCGTACAGAACCCATATAGAGCCCTTGCAGAACCCTTGTAGAGATAGCCTCACAAGAAGCCTCTCAGTCGTGCTATGTTTGGCCTGCTGAGGACACTTACTGTGTCACAAGGTGTCCTGGCATCGTGAGTCGTTGATCGGAACCTGCCCATGTCAGTTCTACTTAAAATGGCGCCTCTGAGCCCAGTACCCACCCCAGCCCATGTGTTCATAATGGCCTGGCTCATGAATGACCAGAGTCTAAGGTTAGAATCTATGGGCCCCCAATATGGACCCCTAGGCCTTTCTAGGGACCCTTGAAGGTACATATAGGATATTTTGTGGCGTATAAGGATCCCAGGGTTAAGGGGCCATACTAGGGGCCCATGGTTTCAAGCTTAGATGTTATAAATCCTAAACCCTAAACCCTAAATCCTAAACCCTAAAATACTAAATACTGTAGGGCTCTGATGACCCTAAACCCGAAACCCTAAACCCTAAACCCTAAACCCTTCTTCGTATATGCTCGCAATCTGAATCCGGGAGACCAGGCCCCGGAAGACTCCGCGTTTGCTTTGGCTTCCGGGCTGGAGGGCTTGAGGGCTTTTGTTTTAGGTTTAGGGCTCAGGGCTTTGGGCTTAGGGTTTAGGGTTTAGAGTTTAGGGCTTAGAGTTTAGGGTTTAGAGTTTAGGGTTTAGGGTTTAGGGTTTATGGTTTATGGCTTAGGGTTTATGGTTGAGGGTTTAGGGATTAGGGTTTAGCTGCAGACGTGACGCCGGTGGAGGAATTCGTGTCTTCTGCTTCGTTTGCGGCATGCAGCCAGGAAATTGATCTAAACCCGATCTTACCAACACGAAGTGCCGCGAGCCAATGAGAGAGCCAAGTCGAACTCACCAGTACACAACCGCCTCGAAAGCCTATGGTCTAAACCCTAAACCCTACCTTAAGAACCCAAAACCTACTTTTTTGTAGGGTCCCTATAAATCCCATATTAGGGTTTAGGGTCCCGGTTCCTGAGTACCCATTTGCCCTTTTTCATTTCGGGTTCCCTTAGTACAACCAGTAGGAAAAAGGGTACCCTCATTAAGGGGCCACTGGGGAACCTAGTCTAAGACTCGAAGATTGTCCCTAGACACACACACCCTCAAGCCTCAGCGCCAAAGCCAAACTTTCTCCCATCCTCGTGGCTTCAAGGTAGCTGGCCATCAGAGATCTCATGGGCGGCTTGACTTAGAATCCTCGTACAGTGATTGCAAACAATAAATGTAACCATAGTAATGATAGTAACAGTAATAATAGTACTAGTGATGATAAATACTGGTAGTAAAAAGATTACCACTAATGATAACAAAAACGAGAACTATGAAAAGTACTTAGAACAATATCAAGGCCCCTATATCAATCCCGAAAGCTGTGAAGTTGCGGTTTTGAGTTTAATCTTCCGCTCCACTCTTGTGGCTGTCCGGCTATCAGAAAGCAGTCTCAGGAGCAATGGCACCCCTGCGCCGAAGACGATTGTTGTAGTGTTGTTCGGTGCGCACGGAGTCACGGAGAATATAGGGGCCGTAATGATCAGAAGGGTTTTGGGCTATAATGACTATAATCCGGAACCCCAAACTTTGCGTTCCTCGTCATCGTAATTCTCCTGCTTGCTATCGGCTTGTCGCTTGATGAGCACCCAGCAATATCGTTTGCGCCGGGCTACCGCGGCTTTGTTCTGATAATGGCATGGTGCTGACGACTCCTCGCCACCAATGCTTGAAGTTATCTTTTCTGCGTTTCTTCGTCGTTTGGCGGCCACTGTTTCTCCGGTTGCTGACGCTGCGGCACCAACTGTTTTGACTACTCTTGCTGAGATTGGTGCAAGTACACAATTTGAGACGATAGCTCCCTCAGGAGGCCTTAAACCCTAAACTCTAAACCCCAAACCCCCATAGTAGCCTTACAGGAAACAGCATGGAACCCCCTAAACCCTAAACCCTTAGAGGAACCCGTAAGCTAGGTGCTCAAGACCGCCAGCGGCGAGGCGAAGAGTTCTGAAGATGGGAGTTCCTTTCGCAATGCCCTGTGTTTGGGGTTTAGGGTCTAGGGTTCAGGGTTTAGGGTTCAGGGTTCAGGGTTCAGGGTTCAGGGTTTAGGGTTTAGGGTCTAGGGTTCAGGGTTCAGGGTTTAGGACGGGTTCGTGTGCCCGAAAAAAGCCCGCGAGCCTCGCCGAAAGGAGATCCTGACCTCGGGGGCGGAGACATTTCCTGAGAACCGGCAGTTTCGTGTGCCAGGCATGGGGGGCCCCTGATGCAAGGCTTCTGCTTTTTATGGTCCTTTCTTTGAAGGCCCTGTTTTGGGTGGTGGCTAGGGCTGAATCCTTCAAATAGAAGCCGCGACCTCTTCATTCGATGCTGTCAGGCAGTCTTCAACCCTTCAGCGGCTAAGCCCTAAACCCTACAAAAAACGTCGCAGGCACGGGTATCTCCAACTCTGAGAACGTCCACATCGACGGAGAGATGGTTCAAGTGACCCTGCCAGCGGGCACATCTGCTCCTTCGGGCCGGCGCCCCAAACCCTCCGATTACTAGTGCGAACCTTGCTCGTTACTATTCATATTGGTTTTTATAAAAACCCTCGTTGCTAGTGCTATGATTACTATTCATATTGTAGTATTGTTGTGAATTCCCACGAAGCTTTGGGCTTTGAGGGCTTGAGGTTACATGTCCTAGCGAAGAATGTGGACCAGGAGGGTCTCTCCGTCTCTCCTGTGGTCTCTGGATCGCTCATACCAGCAGTCTATCTGAGAGTCGATCCAAACCTGCAGCGATGGCCCGGGAATGTGTCATAATTACTAGCGTGATGCGGAATTAGTGGTATAAGCAACGTACATAAACTTGTACAGACACACGTACATACTCACATACATGCATGCATGTATGTATTCATGTATGCATGTATGTATGTATTCATGTATGCACGTATGTATGTATGTATGTATGTATGTATGTATGTATGTATTTACGTATTTACGTATGGATGTACGTATGTATGTATGTATGTATGTATGTATGTATGTATGTATGTCTGCATGTATCACGCCTTGACTCAGCGGGCAGCGCGTTCAGAAAATGTGTATATATGCCTGCATGCATGGATGTATGGATGAAGGATACCTGTCTGTCTGTCTGTCTGTCTGTCTGTCTGTCTGTCTGTCTGTCTGTCTGTCCGTCTGTCTGTCTGTCTGTCTGTCTGTCTGTCTGTCCATCGGTCTGTTTGTTTGTCTGTCTGCCTGTCTGTATGTCTGAATGCCGTATGCCTGTATGCCTGTATGTCTGTATAAGTATCTGTGTATGTACGTATGTGTGCTGGTTTGTTCAATTCGTACACGTATATCCATACATTCAAAAAATGTAGATGCGGCACCATATCAGAATACAGCAGTATGAGATTTCATTCGGAAGTATTACTAGGTTGTAGCACGAAATACTGATATATCTGATAACCAAGCGACATCTACACCTCTTTGCGCGTCAATGCGGGATTGAAGATCCTCAACCTGCAGTCGCCAACACCAAAAGCCTTTATTGGCGTACCCTTATAGGAACCCTTTACAGGAACCGAACCCTTAAAGGACCCTAGAAAGCCCCTATCATACAAATCATATGGGGGTTTCAGAAAATAGGGGACCCTAATATAATACCCTAAATAGTAGGATCCTTATTATAAGGACCCCAAAATAAGGTACCCCAATTTTCGGAAACTCCCATATAGGAACCCTTATGGCCACCCTCAAAGCAACCATCAGAGCGCTAAACCTTGGAATCCCTGGAGAGGTGCCGACCAGATCCTGGCACTGTCCAGGCCTTTTTTCTTGAAATAGGGTTAAGGAGTGTGTGGGTTTCAGGGTTTAGGGGCTATGTTTGTTTTAGGGGTTCAGGGTTTAGAATTAGGGGTTCAGGGTTTATGGGTTTGTGCTTATCTTGGGTTAAGAGGTTCAGGGTTTCGGCCATGGGGTTCAGGGTTCAGGGTTTAGGGTTGAGGGGTTTAGCGCGCTCAGGGTTTAGGACTCCAGGCTATAGGGTTCAGGGTTTAGGGCCTAGGGTTTAGGGATTCAGGGCTTTGGGCTTATGGTTTGTTTAGGTTTGGAGTGAAGGTTTAGGATGACGACGATGGGTTTACAGTTGCAAAGTCCTGCGGATGCTTCACTCATACGCTTTGTGGAGGCTCGCATCGGGGAGCACGTCCATTGCTGTATGGGCAGGGGGCCCAGCTCAGTGGCGTTCGAAGCATTGCAAAGGTGGGCCACATTTTTGTTGCCTCTCTTCACGGTGATGCGGCCGTTGCCTTGTTGAGGTTGCACTGAATGATTTCGCACCCCCGTCTGCGTCGCCAACTTCCATTCAGTTCCAAGACACGGATTCCGGTGCTTCTGCAAGCACTTCATGCTGTGGCTTTGGGTCTGTGCGAGTGTGGGTGCATGCAAACAACATCCCCCAACACCACCTCGGTTAAGCCCCAAAGGAGGGACAAAGCTTGGGCAAAGTAACAGTGGAGGAATGTTCGATGGCCTTCATTGCCTGTCAGATCTTCAGTCTGGTGCTTAGTAGGGAATGGGGGAATGGATCCCTATGATCGTCCCTTAAGGTTCCTTATAGTAGTCCCTANNCCTACTAAGCACCAGACAGTTTTAAGGAGGAAACATTTCAGCTTTGAGCTTCATCCGCTCCGCAGGACCGCTAGAGATCTGGGGGCTTGGCCAGGTCCATGGTCAATTGGTTTCCCTTTCCAGGCAGAATTCGGTTCGTTACGGTAATTCTCTTCCTGATTTTCATGACATGTAAGGGAATCTAAGGTCTTCTGGATCGGTTTCTCAACGCAAGGAAGCATTGACGTAGACCAAAGCCGATATCAGTAGTATATTTTGTAGCTTCGGTGCAGGACCGGTCTAGCTCGGGCTTCTGCCAGCGTGGTTGAACGTGCCATTACGAGGGTAATACGACTGGTATCACTTCTGCTGCATACTGTTATACTTCTATTCTGCTGCTGCTTAGAATGGCTGCTGTTCTTGCTGCTAATTGCTGTCAGTACTCCTACCGTATCGGCAATACACTAGAGCAAGACATCGTGAACTTGAAAAGACTTTTACTTTGCACCATGTTATTGCAGTGGAAAGTAGCCTGTAAAGAAATCCCGCTCGCAAAAGATCTGATTTGCAAGGTATCAGACAGATCGCCGGCGTGATTACCCTTGGAAGGGCTTCAGACGAGTCTGCCATCTCGGGCTACAAGGTATACTTTGGCAGCCCCTCTCTCAGATGGACCCAGAGAGCACAATACCTCTTAATTAAGGAATATACCTTAAATTATAGGGGCCTTACTATTATGATTTAAGGTATATTCCTTGATTAAGGGTTATTGGGTTCTCTGGGAACTGAGGGAGGTGAGTGCTTGCAGAGTCGAGGTTTTGATGTCATACATGAGTTGTCCAACTTCCAGTAAATTAGTCACAATACGGTGTGCCTGGGTATATGTCTGTATGTACATATAGCATGTGTGTATACATACATGCATATCTGTATACGTGTATCGCTCTCTCTCTCTCTATATATATATATGTGTATGTACCGGGATTGTTTGCACATGCTTTGCGGCGCAACATGAATTGCGTCATGTTCGAAGCAGTCGTGGTCAGGCAGTGCGACGCAGAAGCTTCCGCCAGCAGTCCTACCTGGACTTGCGTACAAGCTCTTTGTATTCCCACAGCCTGGTGGCTGCAACAAAAGGAAGAAGACCCTAAACCCTAGACCCTAAACCCCTAAACCCCTAAACCCTAAACCTGAAACCCTAGACCCTAAACCCTAAACCCTAAACCCTAAACCCTAAACCTTAAACCCTAAACCCTAAACCCTAA